GGGGGGGGGGGGGGGGGGGGGGGGGGGGGGGGGGGGGGGGGGGGGGGGGGGGGGGGGGGGGGGCACCGGTGAGCTTCCCTTTGCTGCTGCTCGCAGCTGTTGGTGAGGGCGACTGACAACCTGACTGCTGCTGACGAGCGAAAACAAGTCCCCAACGTACAGGGCCCGCAGGCTGAGGCCAGCGAGGCCGGTCGGGGGTATACCGTGCGCACGAGAGCGGCGCGGCAGAGGCTTTCACCGACCACCGCTTGGCTGAAGAATGCTGCTTTAAGTCGACATTTACGGGCAGAGCTCGCTCGTAACACGAATCAGAAAGTGAATACTGTACCAGGTCTGATGTCTCGTCATTGTTGTGCAGTTTGATCAGGTTTTGTGTATGCTCATCCTGTCAAACCGTTCTAATGTTACTCGTCGTACGTACGCCTGTGCCAAGAGGCTTCCACCGCCCACTGCCCGACTGAACGTGGACGCAGGCCAGGTGCTTAAAAAAACGTCCAATACACACGCTGCCGGTGTGTGCACGCATGTACACAAACATCCAAATATTGTTAGCTCGCCGAACAAGCTTGTGTCGTGCCCCACCCCCCTCCTCTTCTCCGTAATAGCCGGCAATTGGAGATGGCCGCATCCGTATCACGGCGAACTGAAAAAAAACGCCAACCTTTCGTTCAGCAGATCCTATCTACAAATACGCCCCCACTTTGCCTCTTGTCTTCATTGCCTGAGCTGGTTCCTGACCTTCCTGTGCCACAGCAGTAGTCTACATACCCACACTAGTAACGCGTGGGTTCCACATCTACGCAAACACAGGGATCTACATGCATGCATTGCTGCCATGGAACACGCCACCAAGCCGTGCGCAGTAGTGTAGACTGCACAGCTGCCAAGCTGGTTCCTGTGCATTTGATACCTGTATGTACCCAGATGTGCACTAAATCACACTAAATGATGACGACAGAAAACGCGAGACATCCCGTCTACGCAGGCCGACGGATCTACAGGTACTCCTCGTGAACACAAGTTGCAGCGCAGCCCGCATGTTATGTACACCTCTCCCACAACTGCCGCACCCGCACCTATAACCCCTACCTCTTGCTTCCTGCTGTGCTCTCCAGGGTCAACCTCCCCAAAGCCATCCTCCAGCTGAACCGCGCCGGTGTTGGGCATCGCCAGCCCCGGAAACCGCGCTTCCTTCTCGTTCCTCGGCACCCTTGCCACAGAAGCCTTGGGCGTGGCCTTCTTCGCGCCCCCCCCCACCCCCCCCCGCCCGGCCGAAGCCGCCTTGGAGGGCTTCATGGCGCCAATGATCCGCAGGAGGTTGTCGGCGAGGGAGTCCGGGAACTCGGCTCCGTTCTCCGACAGGGCCTGGCGGAACGCCGCCGGCTCCGGGAACTCATCGGCCAGGTGGATGATGAACTCGGCGAGCGTGCGGTCGCTCAGGCCCAGGTGGTTGTCGAGCTCGGTGCAGACCTTGGACACTAGGGAGAGCCGCTGGAGCTCGTCTATGCTGCTGCTCACCATTGCCTTGCCGTTCTTGTCGACTGTCAATCTTCCACGCAGCAAAAACAATTTTTTATACTATTTTTGATTTTGTTCCTTGCTTCTTGTGCCCAGCCCAGGCTGTGTAGGGTACAACAACCAGCTGCACCGGATATTCTCGACCTCTTCAGTTCGTCCACATCATCAGCTCCCCTTGTCTTGCAGGTCTGTCTTTGTGTTTGCGCAGCAGTGCCCAAAACCTGCCTCGAGATTTTGAGATTGTGGGGTTACGTGGATTTGATGCAACAATAGGGGTATGGTTGTTTCCATCTGGAGGACCCCTGACGGGAACAGACGACATCCCCTCGCGCCTATGGTATATTGTTGTTACAGTCACATCCCATAGCCTCGGGCTACTACTACGACGCAGGGACGCAGGAGGGCGAAGGCAGGGATCGTATCGGAGTAAGGGAGAGAGAGAGAGGGAACACACACACGCGCGCTCGTGTCAAAGGGCCTCGTCCGGGCAGCGCGTGCCCTGATCTGTGGTGAGAACAAACGACTCATCGTCTCTTTAGCCGGGCCTTTGGTGTTTGTAGGCCCGCCCAGTGATGAATAATGTGTCCCGCTTTTTCTCCGAAACCTGCTTCTGCGATGATGACGTTTACCGAGAGGGATAGTGTCTCTTGCAGGAGAGATTGCTGCTGTGTCCGGGTGTGCATCGAGACGTGCCCCCCGTGTATGGGGGAGAGGGAGCGCTTCTGTCTGGGTTTGTGTCGATAGCAGTTTTTTCGGTTTGATGAAGATGATGATCGAAAAAATGAAGCCGTGAAGGGCATAGGGTTCTGGTGCCTGTGGTGGGCGAGGAACCATCAGTAGAACGGCCCATGAATATGCAAGGCAGAATTTTCCATATATCAAAATGACAGAGGCGCTCTTAGCTGGTGTATCTGCGAGAGACCAGAACCAACAGGGTGTGCGTTTAGTACCCCGTTTCCCCGCACTGGTGTGCTTCAGTGCAGCGGGAGAAACCAAAGGGTCAATGTCTCCAGCAGCGTTTTCGCTTGTTGTTGTCTTCCGTACAAAGTAAAGTTCTCTGTATAAGGTCAAGAGATCTAGATAAAATGGAGTTCGCACCAGTTGCGTTCGTGATGTTCTGGTAACCATCGAGCACCGCCACGTGGCGGTAGATTAGATGGCGGAGACGTTTACATTCCTTGGGGGAGCCCTGGGAAGAAATGTATCAAGCAGAGAACCACAAACTACATCACAACGGCGATGTGCTTTGTTCGTAGTACACTTCAACAGCGGGTCCATTCTATTGTACGTGGGAAGACAAAAAAAAGGAGTTACCGTCCATCCATCATGCGTTGCTTTCTTGCTCTGCGCGCGCACAGCAGCATTAATAAAGTCGGAATGCTCAAGAGGTTGACGCCCCACAATCATTAGCAACGGCTCTCACTCTACCGTGTGTCCTTTTCCTTCCTTTTCTGCTCTTGTGTGTGTTTTTATTATTAGCATCGACCGCGCTAACCGGCTAACCAATGAAGGGACGTTAATCTTATTGCTGTTGAAAAAAAAAAACTTCTAGATCTGCCATGAACTGGGACCCCGTGAGGGGGCAGCAGGGGGGGGG